CAAAAATGTCCAACATCTTCCAGACATGTGAAACAGTGGGAGAAGTCTTGCTGATGGTCGAGCTGAGCAGCAGACTGTTGCAGTGACAGGGGGGTGAAGGAGGCCCATCCCCCGGCCTCAGATTGGACAAAGCCCGGCTGTCACGCCCGTGGGAGGAGACTCTGGTCGATTTTGAGGCGCGGTTGAAATACTCACAGTCGTATCCCTGACATCCTTTAATTTGAGCTCAGCCGCCGTGGGGTCCACACACACAGAAGGGGGATCTTCTCGTTTCCAAACCCAGCTAGGAGAAGGAGATCCGGTCGGATTTTTCACCTCTTTGGCAAGATCTTACCTATCCCAGATCTGGATTTTTAAATCTCAAAAACTCTTCGAGGTTTTTCTTTTTCGATTTTATTTTTTGTTCAGAACACCTAAGGAAAAAAATGGGAGCCCAGTTGTCCAAGGGTGGAGTAGCTGCTGAGGGGAAAGCCGCCGCTGACCCTGCTGCTGCCAAAGCCAACGGCCAGGTGAGTAAAGCGGGCCTGACACACCGAGCATCAGCGGGGAGCCACATGGCTCCCAACGCCCACTGGCAGCATGGGTGCCACGGTGGGGCTCAGGGCTGCGATGGGAGCTGAGCTGTTGCTGTTTCACGCTCAGACCCGAGAGCAGACTCAAGAGTTCTGTTACTCACATGTCTGTAGGAAAAATCAAAGTGAAAGAAATTAAAACAGGTTGTCTGACTCGAGGGGACCTCCAGCAGAGCAGCCGTCGAGTGGCCACGCTCGTCCCCGCTCAGCGCGCACCAGACCTGCCTTTGTTAATTCTGTCTGCTGCTCCCACAGGAGCCATCCGCCGCACATTTACTCTAAGAATGACACATTCGGGTGGAAATATGTGTTTGGACCGCGTTTTCTCTCATGAGTTGGCCGTAGTCGGGCAGATAGTCACTCTCACGTCGAACAAAAGATGCGAAGCAAACGGGTGCAAAGGATGCAAATGTGCCCTGCTGGAGGCGCATTTTGCGGAGTTGCAAACAAAGCGCCGACAGTCGCCAGTTCAAACCATTTGCTCCAAACTCTCTGCTTTCAAGCGCTTTTCGTTTAGGTTGAAATGGAAGTTTGTGGAAATAAATTGCACTTTGATGACTGATATGATTGTTAATTGCTGTTTGTCGGGAGCGTAAACTGAGTCTAGCTTCTGATGCCCGTTTACACATGTTGATGAACACGGATCGGTTAGACTTGAGGGACTTCTAAAACCTCCGATCATGAGGGCGGTAGATTCGTTGATTATGAGTCGTAAATTGACCGTGGCTTTGTCTGTGCCGCGGCTGATGTGCTGTTTGAGCTCTGGCCACACTGAGCTCACGCAGGGAGCTGTGGTAGATGTGAGCTGCAGCTCTTGGATGAGAGCAGAAACCAGGTTTCACGGGGATTCCTTTGTTCCCCAATTCGCTGGCTATGTTGACGTTTAGATGCAGCACTACTGCCCCCGTGTGTCCGTCCAGAGTCATGCAAACAGCTGTTGAATCCCCCTCTGAACCACTGTCAGGGCAAGCAGCTTTCCCCAAGTATGGCTGGATTAACTATTTAAATGGGCTAATGCTAATCTGCCACATGATTTGTTTGCTACATTGAAACACATTTCATCTACAGTTTATTCATCTGTATATTTTGAGTAATTCCCTTTTCCAGAGCCAATGTGTTTGTTTTGGCCCAGTTTGAATATATTAATTCATAACTAATGAGAACCCTCTTTTCTGCAGGAGAATGGCCATGTCAAGACCAATGGTGATGTGTCAGCCAAGCCCGATGGGGAAGTGGCTGCTGCAGATGGAAATGGAACAGCCGAACCAGCCAAGGAGGGTGAGACCAGCGCCGGAGATGCAATCGAGCCCGCTCCTGCAGCTGAGGGCGAGGCTGCCAAAGCAGATGGAGAGGCCGCCAAGGATGGCAAGAAGAAGAAGAAGTTCTCCCTGAAGAACTCCTTCAAGTTCAAGGGCATCTCGCTGAAGAAGAGCAAGAAGGGCAGCGAGGAGGGCAAGGAGGAGGCCACCTCCCCCACGACCGAGGACAAGCCAGAGGAGAACGGCCATGCGGCCAAGGAAACCAAAGAGGAGACGCCAGCCGTTGAGGCCAAAGAAGGCGAAGCTGCCGCCGACGCTGCTGCAGCTGCACCCGAGGGAGAGACCAAGGCGGCGGAGGAGGCGGCCCCAGCCACAGAGGCTGCTCCAGCTGAGGAGGCCGCCGCCCCCGCCGAGGGCACGACACCTGCAGCCTCTGAGGGCGAGGCCAAGGCAGAGTGACTGCACCCCGCCACGGCACCTGAACTGATTTTCCAAGATTAAAGTATATAAATATATATATGAGAGACTCGTGCCACGTTCTTAAAGTTATAAACAAAACTACAAAAGAAGACAAAGGATATATCACGTTTGCTGATTCAACCACCAGTTCACTGCCTTTTATTAGTTCTTCGACAGACGGAATCTCACCGGGCCCTCTCATGATGAAAGTGTCGGCATGTGTCGCCCCCTCATGGTACACACGGGGACTGGCGTGTGGCGAAGGTAATGGATTGGACGTGGAGCGAATCAGGAATACTGACTTATTTTCCCAATTCATGGAGAAGCATCCTTTTTAACAGCGTGGCAGCCCTATAACATTTTATTTTTCTTTCTCATCTTTTTGGGATCTAAAAATTGTCACCGTTGCAGAGCGGGGTAGACCATCTCCTTCACTCGAAATGACTGTTATACGGACACATAAACCTTTCAAATGATCTTATTAATTTTTAGAATTCTACATTCCTATGTTTTACCCCCAAATTTCAAGTATTTTGTCATGTATAGAAAAGTGAAAATCGAGGAGGGGAGGTGGAAAAAGAGCTATGTCTTTGTTCGTGCATTTTCATTCTTTTTCTGGCTAAAACCACATTCAAGCTTCTTGAGTATTGCAGTGTTCACATTTCAGAGTTTATGACGCAGGGGTTGGGATTGTGTACAAAATGTGAGCTTTTTATCTGCAAACTGTCTCTGTAAATATGTTTTGGCCAATATTTTTGGTTCTCTTTATTTTGCTATCGTTTGAAGATGTTAATGGTTTTATTGTAACTTTTAATAAGGGTAAATAAATGTTTGATCCCCTCTGTCTGTGTTCTGCCTTGTGTTTCACACCATAAGACACAAAACTGATACGAAATGGAAAGTTAGTCTTCTTTCAGGCTTTCGTTTTCATAAGGAGGTTTGTTCAGGTATTATGTCACGCATATACACATAAACAGTTATATAATAGAAACTGGTCTAAATCATTTATACATATATATGTATATATTTCTTAAATAAAAGGTTATTATTGGAAAAACTATAATTTAGATTAAAATATATAAAAATATAAACAAGTTTTCACATCACTTACATCACCTAGATTATGAAAATGGCACAAGAAATTGAAAACATTTGTTGCTTGTGACTCCAGATGAGGACATAAGATCTGGTAATGCTAATTTAAGGAGAAGATGAACAACTATAAAGGTTGCAGAGGCCTGAGTCATACTTGGTTTGTCCTTGTGCGCATAACACTTACAAAAGTTCACACCTGCACCAATATTCTGTAGGAAATACATTCATATACTTGGTATGAATACATCCACTTACATACAATTTGATTTATCTTTTTTTTTTTCTGATATTCATTTTTCACACTACCCCTTTGGCAAAACAGTAGTAGCACGCCATATTGCAGTCCACTAAACATGATACTTGTGTGCATGACAAATAAACCTTTAAATCCAAATAATGGATTCTGTGGATGTAGAGCTGGAGGCATGTCTGTACCAGGGAAAGGGGATTTGATGTGCGCCAGAGACAGCTCCACACAAGCTTCATTATAGGCTCTCTTACATCATTAAAAATTAATTATGCCAACATATATTTGATATGTAGTCATCAGATGGCGGAATCAGACCCATTTAAATAAGAAATTCCTCGTCAAATAGTTAACATACCTCGTTTTAATTTGCTTGTCTCTGGCTCCCTCTGGTGGACTGAAACGTGTATGGAGCGTGACTCTGCAGCCTGTTGCTCACTGTAAACATGTCCCGTGCGTCTACACGTTGGTTGTGTTTGGTGACTAGCCAGAGTTTTAGCTAGTGTTCATGTGTGTATCAGAGATATATATAGCTGTATCACAATATTTAACATCTTTTCCTGTGGTTTACCAGACGAGGTGGCCGAGTGGTTAAGGCGATGGACTGCTAATCCATTGTGCTCTGCACGCGTGGGTTCGAATCCCATCCTCGTCGCATCGGACATTTTCTGTTTGAAGACATAAATGTTCAGTGCAATATCGCCCATTAACTTGAAATTAATATACATAAAACGGGTGACACAGTTGTCAAACGTATACTTCATTCAATTGCTAAGAAAATTTCCTAGAGAATGCATTTTTCATTATTAGTTAATATTCAAATAATGGCATATAAATGAAAAGCCATGCTCTTAGGGGGTTTTACAGAGGCAGTTGAAGGCAGCATGTAGAGTTGTCCTTAATGTCCACATGGTTGAGGTACCTGCATCGCTCATATGATCAGCTGTGAGGGTAGAGAGGTGTTTTTTCATCTTGATGAAGCACAGACGGAATGTAGGTTTACCCAAATCAGTATGAGTTCACTGAAGCAGCTTTTTCTTTTTAAACTTCTCTTCTTATTTAAAACGTATTTAGACAAAATCGCTAAAAATATCTTTAAATAGACAAATAGAATGGTCAATTTAACGAAGACAATGCTGTCGTCTAGTGGTCACATAGTGAAACTATTTTCAGTATTTCCCTGATGTTTACAATATTAAATACAACCTAAAGTTGTTCATAGACTTCTGCTGCTTTTTTTAAAAAAAAAATTTTTTTTTAAACCTTTCCTTTCACTAGTGAGTTTGTCAGTGATATTATGAGCAGCATCATAATTCATGTGCAAATCCTGTGTATCTGTGGGAAAATAACAAAAAGACAGTCTAGAACTTGATAAGCATTTTTATTTTATAAGCAATAAAATCTATCAGTATAACAGTAAATAAAAATAAATTGCTATATCTTAAAAGGAACGATTTGACCACATCATGATATTCCAGTTGACTCTCTTTGAGTGTGGGCATGAAACTAAAAATGAAAGTAGAAATGACCTTGTCCTTAAACATCAGTCTGTCAGCTCAGCTAAAGTCCTGCCTGTACTGCAGGACTACAGCCTCAAGTCCATCCCGTCCACTCATATTAAATAACAAAAATGCAATAATGTTGCTGTAATATAAATTTTAAATGCTGATAATTGAGTGACCTTAACAAGTTCCACTTAGGAATCAGCTGGTTGTCAGTTATATGAAATATGAGATTCAGTAATCCACTCAATTTATCTGTGCTGTGATGAAGTCCATTCATTACTCACAGTAACTTGCTGACCAAAAAGCTCTTAGAAATCCAAATCTATGATTTAAACCAGCTTTCTTGGGGGAAAGAGTTCAACCTTGGTGGATAAATTGCTGATGGCATTTTGTTCACTGCAGTAGAAGAAATATGAATGTGCAAAGCACTGGAGGAGGCATCGTTCTCTCAGTCAGTCTGTTAATAAAGCTATTTACAGTGTTGAAGATACCAAGTGTTGTGATCTAGAATATGTGATATATTGATGTTGATGATGAATCAACATCATGCCCCTGGATGTCTCTCCTTGTATAGTACATGGTACAAAGTTAAAAATGTGATATCCAAACATAGTAATCCTAGTAGTACTCTTCTTTAAGTGACGTCTTACAACACACCACCAGCCAGTGTTGATGATCCTCTTAATGGAGAACCATGTGTTTTTCTTGTTCAGCTCGATCACAGGATCATTATGTACAGGCTCTGAACCTTTCATTAGTCTTTTGGTTGAATAGTCTTAGGTAGGTAGCCTGTGTTCCTGTTGTGCGGTCACCCATCAGAAACAAACCCATAGCTTAATAACCACTGTGTCCTATAGTGTTGTAGTTGCACTGCCTTCTCTGATCTTGTCCCTCCTGTGTAAACTCAGCTGGCTCTCTGCCAGCGTTGGATCGGTCCTCCGATACTGGGACCTTGGTGGGGCTATGTTGGTGAGCTCATGTTGCTCTGCAAATATCAGTCTCTGGTTCTCGTGTCGGATCCTCAACAATTTGCTGATGCGCTTGCCTATCAGATAAATCATCTCACAAATACACATGAAGATGCACAGTGCACTGGATATGACCATGAACAACATGAAGATCTTTTTCTCCGTTGGACGGCTAATGAAGCAGTCGACAGTGTTGGGGCATGGATCCAGTGTACACTTGGATAACCTGAAAGAAAAGAGTAAAACAAGTTATAGCTGGTGCAAAACACCATGTTTTCATTTGACAAGTAATAAGATACAAGCATCACCTGGGCAGGTCATATCCATGGTATACCCTGTATAGAATATAGAGAAATGATGTGTCGAATCCAGCTTTGAAGACCAAACTAAGCAGATATGTCCACCACAGCCCCCCTCTCTTCTTGCCTGGGTTGGCATACAGGTGAGAGCCGTGGTTCAGCTCCACATATTTCTGGTCCTTTCCCTCGCGGTATTTAACATGAGCTATCACCATCAGAGATGGACACGTGACAAAGATCAGCTGCAGCGCCCACAGACGGATGTGGGAGATGGGGAAGATGTGGTCATAGCAGACATTGGTACAGCCAGGCTGGAAACAAAGTTAAAAAAGATTAAAAAAAATAATGTTATATTTTGTAATTACTTTTTCCATAATGACTCTAATGTCATCTGTAATGGATAAAATAACTGATAGCAAGTTGGTAGGTTGTTGCATTCATGCATTCAGACAAAAAAACTGAACATAGGCTAAAATAAGAGCCAATACTTTTATTTTATACAAGGTAATATGCCTGCCATGAGGAGATAAATACATAACAAAAGTACCACTACATTATGCTGTCAGAATGAGATATCAGGTCAGACGTCTGGTGAAGGTTTTAATACCTATACAGTGGTATAATAATGCAACTGCATTACTTGCAGCCTCTTGGGCCTGATCTCAAGCAAAAAAAAACAGGTATATTTTACAGTTTTGTTTTCCCACAAGAATTCTTAGCAAAAATGAACCAATCTAGCAAGTCAGCTGGAGTATTTTCTTTCTGCAGTTTCTTATGTTATTTCTTATTTAACTGTTGATTAAGATTTGTGTTCTAATGGTCTGAGACAGAATTAAAAAAAACAATTATACTGGTTAAAGGTCAAGCTCTGAAGATAAATCTGATAGCTTATAAATTAACAGCCTAATATATACTAAAGTATTAAAGGGCCAGTCGAGCGATTTAGCACCACTTCTATTAGGTTTCTATTTAGGTTTAGGAACCCACAAGAGATAGATTAAAAAAAGAAGGTCAAATTGAGGCATGAGAAAGCCTTACGTTTAAGCCAGGCTCAGACTACAGAGCCCGGCCTTCACTTCAAAAACACTGCATCCTACGCTTCCCATAATACATGTCCTTCAGTCCACGCAAGCTTTCTGTGACATCATCAGGGTAATTTTTCAGAAAACCCGACTTTACTGTTTTCACAGGTCGGGTATGGTGACGAATAAACTGTTATTCATGTGTCAAACTCACAAAGACGAGTACAGGTGGTCAAACTTACACAAACAGTTTAAACTGTCCTTTAAAGGGTTGGTACACACAAATTACACAAAACATTTTCTCTCTTTCATTTAGTGGCGTGTAGCCATGTAGATAGTTTTGTAGATATTGAGATATCTGTTTCTGAGATCTCTGCCTCTACACCAATGTAATGGTGACTGGTATTTTGTCTGGAACAAATATGGGCGAAACATTTAGCTACACGGCTCTATTTTTTGACCTGAAAGATAGATTAAAGAGGTTAACTCCATGCTGTATCAACCAGTTTAAGGTGCTTCTAAATTTTCTATGAATCTGAATTCATCATTCAAATTAGAAAAATGTTCATGAGCTGCCTTTCAGTGGGAAACTCAGTGAAACAGTGAAAGTGCAGATCTGTAAAGTTTCATGACTGAATCTTGCACAGTTGTGAAGCTATGTCCACAGGCATGTTAACACCTCCAGGACCACATTTTGCCATGATGACACACACACACACACACACACAGACTCACAAGGTGGAAACAATACAAGCCACCCTGTTGCAGCTAGTAATAAAGAGTTGCTCTTCCATTTTACCTGCCGGGTATTACACACAAAGTCTTTGCTCTCGTCGCCCCAAACCCTCTGCGCTGCAACCACAAACACCAGCACGCGGAACACAAACACCATGGACAGCCAGATCCTCCCAAATGCAGTGGAGTATTTATTGACTCCACTCAACAGACTCTCCAGCCCCGACCAGTTCATCCCTGCTGCTGCAATGGGCTGGCTGAAAGACGCAAGCGCACCCTGTGAAACAGAGGAAGAAGGAAAGAAAGAAACTTGTTATGTTTCCACGTCCTTATGACAAGATAAAACCAGATCATGGCTGAATCATAGGTGTTTTCCTAAGATATTGCTTTTAAATGTCTTCTCTCTAAGAAGGTCAAACTTAGACGAGCTACGGTTAAGGATTAGCCACAACTTGCCCAATCCAAAACATACCAGTAATACTTATGTCAGATGCACCAGCTGCACCCTAAACTGGTATTTCTGTCACAGAGCTTGCATTAGCTTGTATGAATCGTTCATACCAACTACATTACAAATCTGCTTCTTGACTGTGTGTATGCAGTAAATACAGTAGATTGAATTCAACCAACTGACTTGGTCTAATGCTTTATAAATTATTATACAGGATTATTAATGTTAACACCTTCCCCACGAAGGAAACGTCCACACATGAGTAACCTCAACAAGATGTACACAGGCAGCAGAATATAATGTCATGTTATGCTCATGGTGGAAAATTAATGTCTTTGTCAGATGGTTGGAGCGGTTGATGGATAAATCAATGTACCATCTGTTTTTTCAATACTGATGCATGAAGATATGAACAAAATAGTAAAACTATCTTTGGAATTTACCTTGACCTACCAGCAATTTTAAGTTAATGCAACAGGTAAAATTTGAATTTAAATTTACCTGTGAAGGAAAATGAAGGCAACATTTTAAAGGAATAGTGTAACATTTTGAAGTATACGTTTAATCTCTGCTGGTTGCCTTGGTAAATGGTCCTAAGCAACAAATAGTGCGGCACACAAAGCCAAATAAAACAGCAAGCTCTCATTTTTACACTAGAGTTTTAGTCTAACTGTTTCCCCCTGTGTCCAATCTCTATGCTACGCTAAGCTATCAGGGTGCCGGATGTAGCTTCATATTTTGCATACACACATGAGAGTGGAATAGATATTTGCATCTAACACTTGGCGAGAAAGAGTATTTCCCAATATGTAAAACAATTTCTATAAATCTACAGTATGTAACTTTTCTTGAAAATTCGTTTCAGTTGAAATATAATCCAAAATATATGTTAATGTGGAGAGGTGCTATCAAAGGCTACAGTGCAGATACACTCACCAAGCACTTTATTAAGTACCAAGTACCAAGAAAACATTCCCCACACCATTACACCACCTGGACTGTTGACAGAAGGCAGGTTGGGTCCATGGATTCATGCTATTGACACCAAATTCTGAGTCTACCCATCCAGATTGATCAGACCAGGCTATGTCTTCCCAGTCTTCACCTCTCCAGTGTTGGTGAGTCTCTGCTCACTGTAGTCTCACATTTCTGTTCTTGGTGACAGGAGTGGAACCTGACGTGGTCTTGTGCAGTTGTAGCTCATCTGCCTCAGGCTTCAACATGTTGTGTAACCTTTCCGTCAGCTCCAACCAGTCTGATCATTAACCTCTGACCTCTCTCATCAACAAGTCCGCAGGACTGCTGCTTACTAGATGCGTTTTTGTTTTTTGCATCATTCTGACTCTAGAAACTCTTGTGTGTGAAAGAGATCAGTAGTTTTAGAAATAATCAAACTGGCACCAACAATCATGACATGGTCAAACTCACTGAGATCGCACTGCTGCCACATGATTTGGCTGATTGCATGAATAAGCAGTGTACAGGTGTTCCTAATAAAGTGCTCAGTGAGTGTATATTCCCCTCTACAGTTTCTGAGCAAGTTCTGTCCTTCTAACCAACCAGTGAAAGCCAAAGACTTTTTTGTCTTATAATTAAAGTAGTAATGAGTTTTACCATATGATGGTATCAATAAATGTTATAGTCATCATTCTAGACACACTCATCTACACATGCACGTGTCTGGTGTTTATGCTTAATTACTGTGTATTTACAGTTTATCGTAATGAGATTGACTCCTGGGGTCAATCATGCTACATTCACTGATTCTTAAACATGAGCCTTGATCAGTCTTTGTTTGTCCATATGCTCCACCATGGACCCTGTTTAGTCTGTACACACAGCTGCTGTGTGTGTAGTTGCTGCTGTCTGCTGCTGCTGCTGCTGCTGCTGAATGAACACAGTGGAAACACCAGTAGCTGTATGTGTGTGAGGGTAATGAGGTTCAAGAATGAAACAATCCAATATCATCTGTCCAGTATAAATACAACTTAAATCATAAACCTTGTGGCATGTGTGCGGTTTCAGGGTTTATGTTGCCTAGATACTGGGTTGTGTGTGCGTGTGTGTTTAACAGATGACTCTTTCCTTGCAAACAAAATCCAATGTACACTGATCTGCACAGTTTTCTATTGAAGTCTCATGGTTGCCGTAGAAACTTGTGGCTTACATTATATAGATATAAATCTTCATCTTTTCGTTTGCTATTATACAGGAGACTAACTTTCCGCTTAATTGGTGTGAAACACAATAACAGAATCATTAAAAATGTGTATCTAATACAGTATTTCACCGCAGACACTGTTCCTATCACACGTCAAACCCATGTGTTTACAGTATGTGCAGAAAATGTCAACGCTGTAACCAGGTTTAATGTCGTTGTATGTTGACATAAAGGATGTATACAGCAATTAGTAATTAAGCAATGGAAGGTATGTGAGGGTGGGGTTTTTTTCACGTAAAACACAAGGAATTTATGCTTTTTTTGTAAAACATAAGGTAAAAGAAGTCACTGCTAATGTGGTTTCCCTCTAGGTTACAAGAAAAACAAGAAACATTACATCCATATGGGATCTGTGACACCATCCTCAGGCATGTATGGTTTCTGGCACAGTGGAGGATCACTCACTGTTTAGAAAAGAGTAAAATATTTAGATTTCGAAGAACAGAAGTGGCTCAGCACTGAGGACTTTTCTGTCTTAACACTTTAAACTCCAATGCAGATTAGTTTTTCTCTTTCACATGGGTAAAATAAAGTAGGTTATCAGCACCAGTGAGACTTGTACAGGCTTGTAATGGCTGCTATGATGACACACTGCTCTGGGTTGATCATAATAAGACGTTTGCCATTTTCTACATTCATATTAGTATTTTTTTATACATGTATCCATCAGGAAGTAAGTGTCAAATGCTGCAAGTTAAATGTAGGTATTCATGTTATGCCACAAGTCTGAACAACAATCAGCTGAAGGAAGGAAGCAATTAGATACTTCATGTACCATCAGAGGCAATGTGGAAAGTTTTAGTGTGAGTATGCTATACTCCACCACGCCTTTGTCTGTGTGCTGAATCTACAGTTTATGTAAAGACCACTTTCTGTTTTATGTAATTGTTTCTTTATAACAATTACTCAGTATCCTCCCCTGAAATATTTGTTTCCTAGTCACAGGAAAAGTTACTCCCATTGTCTTTTTTAAATTTTTGACTGACTCCGTGGTTTCCCTCTTTGTTGGCATAACTAACAACTTGTATCCATATTGTTTTCGAGTTTAACAAGAAAAAAAACCCCACAACTATAACTAAGTTTGTGTACCGTATAAACACACCACTAGTTACAATCTTTTGTTTACCCCTCAGTCCAGACTTTAAGCATGTGATACAGTAAAGTGTAAGAAAATCAAACTAGAAAAACTTACCCGGTGCTGAAACCTTTCTCAAAAGAACCAAATGTGTTGACACCAGAAGGAGAAGATAAATGTACAGCACTGAAGTTAAATGTGATGAAAGAAAACGTAGTTTTCCGCTCCTTCCTCTCTCTCTGTTTCTGTCCCTACTCTCTCGCCCTTTCTTCAGAAATCCTGCCAAACCAGATTCAGCAGCTGCTACGTCATCACACACAGACACGCACACACACACTTGAGCACAGGCTTTACATGTCCTGTCTTGTCAGTTTGTGGAGAATCCACTCCCTACAAGCCATGTAACCTTACACCTCATAAATAGGTAAAGAGAGAGACACATATGCTTTATTGAGCAAGGAAACAGGACATTTATCCTTGCCAACCAGCAAACCGGCTTGTTTTACTATATTCATAGGGTCGAAACCTGGGAGATCCCCTTATATTTGTGAAGTCTGACAGATTTATGGGAACCAAAATGCTGGACCCCACATGTTGAAATGGCTGTTTGAGGGTTAAGACTTGGTTTCAGGGTTAGTGTTAGCATCCGGTTTACGGTAGGGTTAGGTTAGTGATTGGGTTAGGAATTCAGTTGTGATGATTAAGGTTAGGGTAAGGGGCTAGGAAATGCATTTCAATGATGGGACCCGACAAAGATAAGTGTGCAAGGATGTGTGTGTGTGTGTGTGTGTGTGCTTGTGTGTGTAAGGAGTAAGAGACAGTGGGAGAAATGCCACACCGTCTACTATGCTGTTATGCAGTGTCCAGGAAGCCTGTGCAAATGTGCAGTGCGCAGTGAGTTCACACAGAAACTAAATAAATTGAGTATTTATCAGTTTCAGTATCTTATTGCAACAGTTTATTTTCAAGAGAATAGCTGCCATAAAATAAGATGAAACAAATGCTGTAAGTCTGAAAGTATACAAGACCATTGACCAATGTATTCATGAGCTGTCAATATATAGTTGTGTTGTCTGATAGTGAAATATATGAAGATGAAAAGATAAATGATGAGTAACAATTAAGAACATTTGAGATAGCATCACTTTACAACAATATGTACAGGTGGACAATTATGGTTTAAAACATGGTAGAAAATGTTGTAATGCCAGCAGGCTAAACGTTAGAGGTCAAGTTGTAAAGCACATAAAGGCCACACTAAAAAGCATATTTAATGGATTTTATTAATTAATTGTTTTTTTTTTGTGGCATGTAGGTAAAAACCTCCACTGACTTAAAATTAAAGTTTTAAAAACATCCATAACATTTCATCACCCAATTACAACTTTTTGTAATTTGTTTCACCACCAGCATTGGTTTATGTTAAATTTGCAAGAGGTGGGTTTAATAATGCCGGAAGTAGACTGTTGGTCTACAAATTAAAAGGGTACATGGGGGTAGGTTTTCGTGTTTTATTTTTGAAAAGCTTGCCGCCGGAAATTGTGATATTTATTGCGGCTAACTCGACATTTCTGTTCAACATGTCTCCTTTGCAGGCTCTTCTCACTCATTAGAAGCGTCTGGATTTTTCGTGAAACTACTACGTTTGGTAAGTATCTACGTTAATCGAGGGTCTTTGACATCGACGTAGTAACCGTTACTATTGAGTAACTAATGCTACCGTTGTTAAACAGCCCGCTGTTCTCGCTGTCATTCGGCTGTTATTGAAAAATCGGCGAATGCTTTAGCCTTGCAAGTGTTAGCTCGCTGTTTATTCTGGGAACATGGTTATTGACCTGGTTCTATATGACAGAAGGCGATGTTGATTCCTCTGGGGAGGTAGCTAGTTTTTAAGTCCTGCGCTAGCATTTTGTCTTTAACTGGTCATGACATTAGCTTTTGTATATACATTACCGTTAAGCTAGCTGGTTGATGTTTCACATTAGAACATCGACCTGGCAAACGTTAACAGTCAGCGCGGTTTGTCTTTGGCCATGGCTACGGCTGTACAGCCGTAAAAATAAGTAACTAGCTAAATACTGAGCTTCTAACAATTTGTAGTTAGCTGTGCTATTTAAATACTGTCGATGACTTGCAGGTGCAAAATCCGATCTCTGACCATTGGTAGAGTTTAGCTAACTGAACACCGTACCGTTCCGTTACTTTCGTGTGGACACAATGTCACTCTAAAGTCTATGTAAAATTAGATATTATCCAGAGACATAACCTTAACCGTCATATACACAGCATAGCAACACATAAGCCAATGGTCTTTTTTGTACAGGGAGGTTGATGTTGAGAATTTTTTCATGAACAGGTAATAAGGGGAGCTACTACACGCAGGTGGCTGAGCAGTGTTAACATGTTGTCTTCTACGCAGCAGGTTAGCAGCAAGCTAGCGGGCCGTTGTCAGCCAGGACCCAGAAAAGCAGCATCATCATCAATGGTGTGTCTACATCCCGGAGCCGTCACATTTTCCTGTGTCCGCTCAATGAACTATCTCCTCAGCTCTCATCACAGTGAGTGTTTATCAGTAGTCACTGCAACACTGTCTCACCTGTTGATACAATGACGAATTTAGCAGCTAGGCATCACACTTGCAATTCATTACTCTGTCTCTCTCAGGCTGCACATGTATGGCGTTTGCGAGGCTTGGAGGGGAGTTTTGCCAAGCCCAGCACCTGCTGCTTATTGTGGACAAGTGAACAGGAGACACCAGCTAGGCGCAATCACTGCCATTCACACACACACAGGTGTGTAGCCTAAAGACCGGTCGTGTCTTTATTCAGGAACATCATGAAAGAATTCTTCGTGTTTACTCTATTACAGTCCATAGACAGCAGAGAGTAGAGGTACAGTGAATCAGTGGCAATACAAATACTGATTTCAGTGTCCATTCATAGCTAGTCATTCATGTCACCCGGTGTTGGCCTATAAAAGACAAGAGTAAGTGCATGAAGTTTAAGGACATCATCCCATTCAGAAGTGGATATCAGATAAAAACATTTTAGTTAGTTTAGTTAGTTATATGAGACCAGTAGACAAAAAGATCATATTCGCATTAAAATAACGAGGAAAAACCAGTATTGAAGGATACTTTTAGTTGGGCTTATAGCATTGTAAAAATGAATGACTATCTGTGTGTCTGCCTCACAGGTCCTCACTGCCATCCTGCTCAACCCATATGAGGAGAAGCCAACCTTCAGTCTGTCGGCTGGCCTGGGGAGTAGGGGAGGCTTTGGTTTTAGTCCGGGAGTTTCCTCTCTGCTCTTCTCTTTTCCTGCTTTTCTTTTCTTCTCCACTATCTCATACAGATCTTCTCTGAATGGGCTAACGGATCTGAAGGGAAGGAAGGAAAGAAGGATAAATCTTTTTCTGTCTTCAGTTTTTTCCTTCTGGACTTTGGGTGTCCTCTCTCCAGTTGTTTTGATCCCAATCTGTTAGGTTTTGATTTTTGATTTTAACCAAGCCAATTTTAGTTTTTACTTCATTGCCAAGAAAAGTTTAGATTTTTTTCCTCTCATTTCTCTCCCAGGAAATTTATCTAGTCCGTTTTGGTTTTTATTCAAACTACTTTCTGTCGCCAAAGGAGTACAATATTTACATTCTTTTAATCTTTGCCCATAAATCATAATTCAGTTTAGTTATTTTTCTATTTTTGCAGTCAGAAGGAGTTTCACTTTGATTCGTTTGAAGACCTCCTACTCAATTTTTTAAAGCACAGTACTTTTCTGATCTTTAATTCTTTATTAACAAACCTTTTGTGGGTCTAAAAATGAACCGACCGGCTCCAGTGGAAATCTCCTATGACTGTCTGAGATTCCTCATCACGCACAACCCCACCAATGCACAACTGGGAAGGTTTATAGAGGTAGTGCATTTTTTTATCACAATTTTTAAATTTTGATTTATAGCTGAAACAAAAGTGACATGTTGTCTATAAATCTCTGTGTTTTGATAGGATCTGAAGGCATTTGGAGTTAACACCCTGGTGAGAGTGTGTGCTGCTACGTATGACAAGACACCAGTGGAACAAGAAGGCATACACGTTTTGGTAAGAATTACAGAGTGCATTAAAAATCCATTGTATTTCAAGCAGCAGTAGGCACAGCAAGCCATCAGGTTATTGACACAGGAACATTCAGCAACTGATAGCCATAACTAATCAGTTGCCATAGCAACATTAACCACGTAGAAATAGTGCAAACACCTCTAGACCATTCTTGATCGATGAATTGATTTTACCATGTTTCTCCAACACTAAGTCAGTCTAGATTTCAACCACAGAATCATGACAGCTGATAGGTTTGCAACAAAAAAGAGGTCCAATAAAGACTCAATTTTCCTTCCAGGATTGGCCGTTTGATGATGGTTCAGCCCCCCCAGACCAGGTGGTTGATGACTGGCTGAACCTGCTGCAGACAAAGTTTAGAGATGAGCCTGGCTGCTGTGTGGCTGTGCACTGTGTTGCTGGACTAGGACGGTCAGTATGGACACTAGATTATTTAAATGCTGATTATTACATGTTAATGGCTTCATTTGTTTTTTTTAACCAAAACACGTTAAAAAAAAAAGAAGATTCCTCATACGTATCCCTTATATTTAGTTATTGAGGAGCGGATGGGGAGTGTCTGAATCAGCTTTCACTGTCATTTACTCTCTTTATGCACAAGCTTATTTCTAGTACTTTTCCACTGGTCTAATAATCCCTCTAATATTACCAGTTCTAGCCAGCTGTTGTGAAATGTGACGGACAGACATTAGCCAAGGGGGTTAGCGTTAATTCTGAAAAGGCAGTGTCTCAGCTTTACACTGTCTTTGGTGAAAGATGTGGATATATTTTCCATTATGCCATTTAAGCAGAATGAATGTAATGCTATATGTTAACGGTTCATTAGCTGTCTTCCACTGGTAAGCCATCATATTAGTTAGCTTTGTGGCTAACTAATCTTGTAACAGGTAAACTGCAAGAAAGTGTTTTATAGCAGATGTCAGCTCCATAGTGATGAGGGAGAAAATGACGGGGCTGTTGTTCATTTACTTGCTAGAACTGTCTTACTAGACTTTCATAGCAAATTTGGTTGGTAATACAACAAAAACACTGGTAATAAAGTAGCTCAAGCTTAATTTAGTTATTGGCTTATTGGCTGTTACAAACACTGACAGTGATTTATCTGTTATTAGCATAATTCAGCCGAAATCAGCCTGCCAATGTATCACTCAGGCTCTAGTATAAACTTGGCATGCATTGTCAGTTGTGGTAATGTTGCACAGTTGCTAAGCTCTGTTTGCCATGGCCCTTTGATCCGTCGCTACAGGGGTCCAGAGTGAAATCAGGATTTAACCTGATAAAGAGTAAAGCTAGAGCCAAAGGATAGAGCACCAACTGAGTGGATGCACTGTTTTCAGGTCTGTGATTTATGCAGGGCTACAGAGCCAGAGCACTGTTGTTTCTGTGTTCCCAAACAGATGGTTGTAAGTTTTTATCCATTTGTTTTTTGTCCTCAGAGCTCCTGTGCTGGTGGCCCTGGCTCTAATTGAGTGTGGGATGGAATATGAAGATGCAGTGCACTTCATAAGACTGTGAGTACTAAGCTGTGATTCTACCCTTCACCATTTAACTTGATTGCCCTGAACAACTGCTCGGTCTTTTCATGTACCGTGTTCAGCACCATCCCTGTAGGTGCTCACACGCCTTTCACTGTTTTTTATAAAGCTGTCTCTTATCTCTCTTTTCCTGTCAGGAAGCGTCGTGGAGCGTTCAACTCCAAGCAGCTGCTTTACCTTGAAAGCTACAAACCTAAACTGTGTCTGCGCTCCAAAGATGCCAACGGTCAGAGCTGCTGTGTACAGTAGGAATCTGCAACACCACACATCTTCACTGCAACGACATAGGAGACTTAAATCTTTTGATGTTAAATGAAAAGTTGACGTCTTTGGGTTTTGTTTTTTTTTTTTTGATAATGTGAACCTATAAAATCTATTCAAAGCACTTCGTGGAATTCCAGAAATTCAAGGACCTCACTGCAAAGTTCTGCAAATATTCTAAAAAGTTTAGTCACGTAACCTCTGATTTTACATCAAAAATGAACCTAAAAAAGTGGAAGTGTTAAAGGTTTTTATTTCTGTTCCTTTGTCTTTAACCTCATCTTAATATGTAGCAAAACACAAAACCACACAAATACTTAGCACAGTAAAGGGAATCCCCACAGTCAAACAGAACAAATTTTTAACTGTCACTGTGAATTCAAGTTTGTTTAAAAAAAAAACAACAAAAAAAACAAAAAAAAAAAACAACATATATCACAAAGGTCACTCTCAATTCGATGATACAGGCGCAGCAACAGTAAATGCTGCTTATGTTAACAGACTGATTTAAAATGTTTATGTTTGGATCAATCGAAAACTTGGTATTTGTTCTAAGCAACAACACTACAAATGCTGAGTAAATAGTTGGCAGTATGTGCTCTCAGAGGCTTGCTGGTTTATTGCACATCAATCCTCACACAGATTTATTTATTCCAATCTTTGCTCACTGACCAAATCAATGTCCTGCAGCCAGAATGTGGTGTACACAATAAAGAACTAGGACAAGTTAGAAAACATTAAGAAATATGCTTAAGATTAAAAGAGGAAAAAAAAAAAAACGTGTCCTCAGTTTGATGCAAATGTGTGATATACTATATTTAAACAACACTACAATCTACCTACTTACTCTATGTCCCGAGTCAAAGTCATAGGTGCACAGTCTGCTTCTCTGGAACAAACTCACGTTGGCCGCACATGTTTGACACTGTCATTCATATTGTCACCAAGGCAACAGAGCCAACATATAAAAGATCAGTTGGTGAATGTATTCATAGAGGAATACTTAAAGGTTTTGGTAGATTATCAGCGTTTAGTTGTTGAAAACACAAACAAAATAATATCCTTAGTAGTGGCTGCAGTGGTTCATGCTTACATTTCACTATACAAAGTGTTAAGTGATACTCAACACTTTGTATGATTGAGCGGTAGCATATCCGTCTTTCTGCTAGATAATACTGAGTGATGATCTGTCCAGAAGATGCTGTTGATTGACAGTAAGCTCCATGCAAACACATGAGCATCTACTGTTAAAGATGGTACAGAAATAAGCTGGTATTTAACAGAGTAGGGGGAATTAGCTTTTAGATGCACAAACACTTAAGATCATTTTGATGACCCAGGTGTCTTCACTAAAAGGACAATCTTCCAAATACTTTCTGTATTCCTATTACAACAACCATAGAACAGGACTGTTGTGCCAACATGGCTGCCACTGAACACTTAATGGCCGTTGTTAATCTGCGGCTCTGTACCTACCTATCTGTCTGGTCAGCCGCTGTGTTCGTAAGATGCTGTTGGTCTTTGTGTTGTTACCATTTTTCTATAGGTTTTATTTTCTTTACCTTGTGTACCTTTTGATCTATTTGTACTTGTTATTTATTTATTGATTCCACTGTGTTTCTTTGTGAAATGTCCGTCTGCTGGGAAAAAAAAATCTACTAGTCCTCTTGGAAAATTAAAGTGTTTAGTACTGTAACTGCTGGGTTTGTTTTTTTTGGAACTATTTTGAAAATCATCCAGTTTTAAGTGTCTGTATTGTAAGTTTTAGAAAGCAAGGAGTTGTCAAACATCACACTTTCATTCTCAAGCATTTGAAGCATTTGGAATTAATTAAACTCTCAGGGTTGTGTCAGAATCAGATAACCACTGCAACCCTGATCACTTCTACATTGCATACATAATCAAGTCTATCTAATCCCTTTTGATAATACAAAGCTGTGACCTTCATATCAGTGGAAAACATGTTACATATTCCCCAAAGCACATTTTATGTATATACATTTGTAAATTCAGCTTTACAAACTGCAGATCTGCTTCTACAACAGTCCCAGGTCACAATGATTGGACTGTATGTAGCTGTACCTCTAACCTGGCAGCTGCCTAACATGAGGCTGAGCCTTATCCAGACCTCAGTGAAGTGTGTTTGTATGAGTGTGTGAGAGACAGTGAGAGATTGCCTGTGGCTGTGGTGATGCTGTGTGAATGTGGCTGTCAGAGCGGAATCGCAGCATCACATGGATCCAATGGATGATTCAAGGTTGATTGGTTTTATTGACTGACCTGACAACACACAAGCACAGGAACTAACCTTGAATAAAAGGGCCACATTGAATAAATACAATAAATGTCCATTAACTAGGTTTTAGACCCAATTTTTTTTAATTTAGCTCAATAATAGGCCGAGACTTCTAGCTGATTGATCAATTTGTCAGAAAAGCTAAAAAAAACAAACAAACAAAACAACTATCTTTATAACTGATGAATAGTTTAGTTAGAAAACAGTTAGTGGTTTCAGCTTCTTGAATGACAGGACTTGCTGCCCTTCTCTGAGCTCTGCCATTGTAAATGAATAACTTGTAGTTGTTTTGGTTGGACAAAATGAGACAGGACCTTGATAAAATGTGTTGATATTTTATAGATGGAAGGATTAACCAAAAAAATAATTGACAGAGTAATTAATGATGGAAAAAAATGTTAGTCAGAGCCTTAAGAAATTCCACTGATATTTTCTTTTTCCTAACTGTTTCATGTTCAATGCACAAAAAAATGGACAAATTACAAAACTACACATTACATCCTGGTGGATGTTTTCAAGGTAAGATTAGCTCAAACTCATTTGTTACATACAATCATTGGCAATTCAATAAAAGTGCTGTACAGTCATAAAACAGAAAATTTATTAAAACACTGATGCAGACAACACACTCAAGCAAAAACCTTGACCTTTTCAGATGGAAGTACCAATTTTTCTAACAAATGATGTTATTCTTGGAGTGTTTGTAACTAAAAGCTCTTCAGTCCAACCAGACAACTCATTAATGCCTTTTTCTGTGTGTACAATGCTGACAGCAGAACAGGACAGTTTTATATGAATGTATATAAAAAGTGGAAACAATAACTTCTATTCAGTTCAGTTCAACCCACCAATATAATTGCAAAGATATTCAACATCACTAAGTGTAATGCAAAACTTCAAATTAAGGTAAAAAAAGACTTCACCTGCATGATAATACAATAATACAATTAAACAGCGAGTGTAAAGAGACAAGTTAAGAAGTGTGTTTTCTGCCAGTGTGTTGTTTGCTCCTGTCGACAGTAGAGGGCATCAACCTCCTGTCAGACTGTGCACTTACTTTACATGTCATTTGCTGTTAAGTTAAAATGTAAGAACACTATCAATGTGTTCCTCAGGACTGAGTCCATGTAAAGTTTAACAGGCTGAACACATCAAATTGATAACTGTTCCCTGTAATGTTTCTGTTCTTATAGTATGTGCAATGAGTAATCCTTACATTGAGTGCGTACACACACACACACGCACGCACGCACGCACACAGGCCAACAGTGTCCTTGGCAGCTGAGTACAGCTCTGTCATAATCTGCTGAATTTATGACAGCTGAACATCTCTAAGCTGTGTGTGTGTGTGTCTGTGTGTGTGTGTGTCTGTGTGTTTGTTCGGTGTCCTATGGAGTCAAAATCACTCTTTCTTTCTTCTTTACATTTATATGCACAGACGGAGGGCGTGACCCAAAGAAATATCAAAATCACCATATTGAACAGTGGGATGCAGTGAGATAAAAATGATCAAGAATTATTTCAAGCCTGGTAGGCTCACACACACGCTCACACACTTAAATAAACAGTGTAGTAAAAGTTCGTTGTTGCTCACACAGCCGACAGAGGGCGCTCTTACCCGAAACAGCATAAATTAACAGGTCTGGAAAATAACATTGATTATTATATTGGTGATTGTTCCACCACCTATTTTTCCTACATATTTAACTGAACCTGTAGGCTATTTATCGTGAGGAGGAGGAGGAAGAGGAGGAGACCGGGGGGGAGGTTGAGGGGGGGCAGATGGGAGGGATGATCGGGACGGTGACCCAGTTCACCCTGCAGAGCAAACCGCTGATGATCAAAGGATGAAAATCACTGAGACTTTACTAATAAAACAACAACGGGTGTTCCCAGGTTCCTTACACACAGCTGCATTTCCTCTCTGCGCTTAAAACAGAAAAGAGAGAGACTGTGTGTCTGTGTGTGTAAGGGGGAGAGAGAGAGAGAGAGAGAGGAAGGAAGGAAGAGGGAGGGATTGAAAAGAGGAAAGTGGAGAGGAGCCGGAGTTTTTAGGTTTTCTGAGCATCTGGATATTTGGCTGGATCTGCAGTCAGAGAAGAAGAAGAGTTTTGGATGTATGGAAAATCACCTGAAACCAGAGGAAAAGACGAAAAAACCCCCCCCACACACATCAAAAGAGGAGCGGAGGAGAGACAGGAGGACAGGAGAAGTTCTTTTTCTAACGGGACAGGAGGATAGTTGCCAGACCAGCAGGAATGTTGCCGGTGAGTTTTCATTCATGAAACGTTTCAAAGAACGTAGAATTTTCTTTTCTCTGTGCTGGAATTAGCATCTTAAACGGCACCGTTTGTTGAAAGTTTGAAGACAGCTACAACTGTGAGGGGTTTCCAGTGAGTCCAAACTGAGCATGTGAGGGTGATTAGTTCAAACTGACGCTGCCGTCGTCCATAAGCGTCAAGGAGACTTAGTTACCTGCTGGGTTTCATACAGTTATTAGCTGTAATGAAAACCAACTTTTGATAGCTTGTCACAATCTGCGTATTCACTGAGAACACAGCTTAATGATGGACAGGAAGGCAAAGATGGCGGAAAAAGAGGGATATTTCTCTAAAGACACACAGACAGAGCAGATTTAAATTATTAGTATTTGTTTTTAGAGAAACAAACATGTAAAGACTATTAAAAGAACCAATGCTTTGAACTGCGTGAAGTTGCCAAATTATAAAAGCAGGCAAACCGGAAGTGGATCACTGAATTTTCAAAATAGAGCATATGTGAATTGTAATAATTCACAAATCCATTAAAATAGAACATTAATATGACATTAAGATAACATTTAATAAACTTAAACAAATAAAAAATATTTGAAATATTTGATTAAGTCATACAATCAAGTAGGAGACTTTGGACACCAATACAAAAAAACAAATACAATGCCCCGTTTTTAAAAGTAGCAAGGACATAAGAAATTATAGTTGATTTGATGACTTCAGAATAAATATTAAAGAAGCAAAACAGCAATTTACAATAATTTAAGATACTGGCAGTTATAGGAGATTCTGTGCTCTGTACCCACTGGAAAAATCCCTTTTTACAGTTTTAAGTGTTCTAATATTTTAGCTAGCTCTACATTCTTTTGAGTTTTATATATATATATATATATATATATATATATATATATATTTACACACTCTTTATTTTTTGTTAGATTGTATGTACAGTGTAGTACTGCAACACGTTCGTCAAGCGGGCTTTTATTTTGAAGGTTATTATCAGAAGTCCTGTTTTTCTTCTTTCTTCTGTTTGTCTTTACAATAATTTTAAGAGGTGTGTGTGTGTGTGTGTGTGTGTGTGTGTGTGTGTGAGTGTGTGTGAGAGAGAGAGAGAGAGAGAGAGAGAGAGAGAGAGAGACAACCCACTGGCACACCCTAACACATTTGCACACATAACACACATGCTTTTTTGCATGTGTTGGGCATTTGCTCATCATCCACAACTAGTAGAAACGTTGTCATATTTCATTCTGACCGTCTGCACTATATTCATGCATTAGTATTCAGCTCAAACACTGGATCTCATGAACAAAACTCTCAAAGTTTAATGTGCTGCATTTTACCCAGGTTTTACACAGAAACATTTCTTACTGACGTTCGTCATGAGGAGGAAATGGTCAGTGTTTCTCAGTGGATGTTATAAACATACACACAGTCTAAAGTTTGCATATATAGGAGGAAAAGGGTGATGTTGTATACTTAAATGCCTCTCATGCAGTAATCTCTGAGCCCTCCTTACAACCAGAATGAAGGTCTTAACCTGCCAGCACTGAAATGAGTAAACCATTAGTATTCCTGTTTCCATCCTGTCCTTCCTTTCTCAATCTCTCTCTCAATCTCTCTCTCTCTCTCTCTCACACACACACACACACACACACACACACACACACACACACACACACACACACACACACACACACACACAGAGAAAGAGAGAGAGAAAACACTACACCTCTTTGTGGCTGAGCTGGGCTGCTGTCAGCTCCAGACAATACGCTGAAGATATAGAGATGTGTTTACTGCTGGGACAGAGAGAGAGGGAGAGAGAGAGAGAGAGACAGAAACACAGAGAGAAATTTTACCTTGACCTTTCAACCCATCCTAAATGTCCTTCCTGGTTCAGGCCTATTCTTCTTCCTTTCATCCAAAGTACAGAGAGTTTTAGCTTTTGCCATTCTCCACTCATTGTTCACAGCTTTGTGAGTGTAAATCCTGACTTCCCCTGTGAAAATGTTTGCCTAAAGCTGCCCATCAACACAGCTACTTATTCATTAAGACTGCTGGGAGAAACGTAAAGAACGTATAGCTTGTCTAACAGCTTTGCGCTCACTTCTGTAAACAGGG